TAAATTCATATTATCTCTTGTTAGAGTATAATGAATTCAGAGGCCCCATATTAGAGAATGTAGTAATGAAGAACAATGAGTTGTGATGTTTAACAAGTTGGGGTAAGCTCACATGAAGGAAGGGGATTCATGTGTGGTACAAGGAATGCGGCTTAATAGAAGGGAGTGTGAATATAGAGGGTGAGGTATTAAGAATACTAATGGCTATATCTTTTGTTGTCTAATTTTTTTTCTTTTCCTTTTTTTGTCCACCCGATGCCAGCCACATCATCCTAGTGTAAAAGTCCGAGTTACCACGTTATAAGTTGTCTTAGTAGAATAGCTAATCCAGCATCAAATTGGAAACATGAGTCTGAGTGTTGAGCGTAGAAAGACAATTTATATCATAGATCGATCGACATTTGAACGGTTTAGCAAGAACTGTTGTGTGGTTGTTTTGGCAGTGTTGCTCGGGCGAAAACAGCTTACTTCCGGGGCTATTTTAATGATAATGCTGCTAAAAGGTGTATCAGAAAGTGTAATAGAGATACATCAAACAGTTCTCGTTCGATCACTACACAAATTGAAGCTCAGAGTCGATTGACTTACATAAGCCAACAGAAGCAGGATGGCCTGTAAAGGAATCTGTCAAAAATAAAAGATCAAGAAAGGAAGTTTCTTCTCTCCTACACTCTAGAACTTGCAGCTTGCAGGAAACACCTAGAAAACACAGTTGTAATGCTGGATCTGTTACTAGCAGAATAATTATCCAGGGTCCCTCAATGTATGTAACACGACTGTGATCACTACTCCGATGGAACTTGATGAATAGGTACACATCAGGAATAAAAAGTGATGTAGTGTTGCTAAAGAAAAGCTAGTCCTCCAAACAGCGGTCGAGATATTGAAGATTGATCATAGCGACAGGTCAGATGTCTTTCACGGAGTAAAGGAGAGTGAAACTTCAAAACTCAAGACTCATATTTGGCATGATAGTGAGCTGATAAAATATCTTCTAAACCAGCTAGTGAATTATGGTATCTCTGGAGTCACCTTGCTAAAGGTTTACAGACAAGGTAGCCAAGTGGACTTGAAACAGGATCAAATCGGACTACTAAAGCCGTAATAAAGTCTCCAGATGAGAAGGACTTAGTATTAGAGGATGGACACAGACCAAAGTAGTCAATGACGTTTGTTCCGTAAAGAATTGCCGCTCGCGTACTGTATACGAAGACGAAAAGCTGAAAACGAATCTAAACTTGGGTTAGGTGCTGGGGAGTGCACAGATAAACTTCACCAGACCGAATGTAGTCGCAGTCGAAGAAACCTGGTTGACGCAGTCAACAGACAGTACGGTACTTGATTTTTAAAGTTTCACATCATTAAGAGCAGACGGGATTCGGAAGCGTAATAGCGAGGAAGTAGCTCTATTCATTATGAATACTATCCCGCCTGGAATGAAAACGACAAGACCTGTTGATTGGTTTGGTCTAATGTAAGGTAAATGATATATTGCTGGAGAGTCTCATTACCTTGTCACGAAGCTATCGATGTTTAATCTTGGTAGATCACAATGCACCAATGGCACACTGAGATATCAGAACTGAATTTTCAGAAAATCCCCTTGAAAAGGAACCAGTTGATGCAATGATCACACGTGCTCTAGCGTAACATGTTTTAACGACCAAAATGCCAATATTCGGTTTGAGTGCAGAACTAACGAATCAAATTTTACTCGACCAGACCAGAGTACGTTCTTTTGTATAGCATTTTTTTGGTTACTGGTATTAAATTATATCAAAACACAAACTCTGTGTTCAATTTAAACCGTTCTTATTTCACAATGAGAACGAAATCTATTAAAAATACAAAGTGCCTCAAACGGTGCAGTCTGTGCTGTACAGTCAACAGTTTCTCTAGCACAGATTAGCGTTCTAAACAACAAAAAGAATAGTTTATACACAAGAGGAAATAGCAGTATTTCATCATCTGTGGTGGACGATCATGGTAAAGCTCGGGCATTTCCAAATTACTTTAGTAATTTATATGTCGTAAATATGCTACCCCCTTCAGTTTACTGAGGCCCCACCACACACACACTGAACTTGGATACCATCAAAGAAATCTATGATCTGCTAGGAGAATCCATGGGACCCGATTGGATGCATCCCAGTTTACTAAAGGATGTAGATGTTAAATCTGGATTGAGCTATCTCGTGCTTGTAGTTGACAATGATATGAAAGTCGAAAGTTAAAACTGCGTGATCACTTTTACTTAGGGATGGCATGTAATGGAGGTTCGCAATGTCATCCTCACAGTGAGTCAACATAAGATCTAGTAAAGATGATTCAGTGTCGGGTCGTACCAAGTCGGTTCTTTCACATGTTGCACTAGTGCACATATGATAACCGAATCAACTAGTTCCAGCTAGAAGGAATTATCTGACGATTCAGTTCGCAAATTTTCCCAGACTACCATAGGTGAATTAGGGTCCCCTAGGATTAGACATCGACCACTTTGTGACCAAGTATTGAAATTGTCTAGTAAGACCTCGTTTACCTCCCAGCTTGGACTGCGATAGACCAAACCAATCAGCAGCTCTTGTCCCATGTATTTCAAGTGGCAACTAACTAATTCACATGTCCCACTCTCATGGGATACACTGTCGATAATGGCAAATATGATAGCATTCCTAATTAATAGAACTACTCCCCCTCCTTTACGCTTTTGCATTCTGTCGGCTCTTACTAACGTAAAACCCTCGAGGTCAAGTTCCATACTATAAACAGACTGTGTCCGCCATGTTTCTGCGACTGCGATTATGTCTGGCTTTGTAGAGTCAATCTGTACACCTAGTTTCGATCGCTTATTGAGTAAGCTTCGTGTATTAGTGTAACAAATCCGAGGCCTATTTAAATGGCTTCGTGCTTCACCCATTCATCATTCTCTGTCGAAACCTTACAACCCGAAAATTTACAATTTTCAGGTCCTTTTAGCCAGCGTCTAACCTAATTTGTAGTTCTTTTCCGGCTTCCCATCTTTTTAGGCGATCTGCCAACGGCAATTCCTTACCTATAAAAACTCCGGAACCCTTTAGTTTATGTCCACTCTGTAAAATCAAGTCACGTTCATTCGAAGATTTGAATACCACTTTAAACAGTTTGGATTAATTAGGCTTCAAGTTCGCTAGACTACCTTGTCTGTGCACCTGTAGCAAGGTGACTGCGGAGATATTTTGAGACATGAGTTGATTAAGTAGCTGTTTTATCAGCACAATGTCATGCCGAAAACGAGTTTTTGGTTCAGAGCTTTTACTCTCCTTGATTCTATGAAAAATAACTGATCCGTTACTGTGATCAGCCTTAGATTTCTGGACTCCTTTTATGGGGGCAGGGTTCCCTTTTATATCGTTATGTTGATTCTTCTTTACAACCTGTACCCACTCGTCACCGTTGCTATGAGAAGCAACCACAGCTAAGTTAAAAATACTGTGGGATTCCGGAGGGTTGTCGACGATTTGGGAGGTCAGGTTATGTTTCCCGCTAGGAACCTATCGAGCCTTGCGACTGCGGCTTCTGGGTGTTTTCTGCTGGATACCATTTAGAAGACGGGGTACAAAAGAAACTTCTTTTCCTGAGTTTTTGGTTAACACAGACCTCTTTGAAGACTGTTTTTCTTCCATTGGTCAGTGTGAGTCACTTGCTTTCGAACTCACCCGAGTTTGCTTCACACCAATTTGCGTGTCGACAGAGCGAGTACTGTTTGATGTGTCCCGACCACGCTTGCTAAAACACTTTTCTCCAGCATTTACATATGAGATGGTCTCGGTTAGCAAGCTGTTTACATCCAAACAGCACTTCTGACAAAGCCATACGCAACCGTTTTTATTGAACCGTTTGAAAGCCATAGGCGTTAAACTCGTGCAAACTTCGTGGTACCAGCCTTTACACTCATCGCACTGCATGCCGCTTCCAACGGGATAACGACAGTCCGGACGTTGGCAATTGCTTTTTTCGCACTGTCCAGTCATTAAACAGGAGTCTTCTTTTTTTTAAAAAAAGAACTAGATGTAATAATACTCAGAGGCAAAAAGGATCTGTGACCGGGAAAAAAAGTGGAAAGCTGTGGATTGTTAGAACCAAAAGTACTAACAGATACAATAGAAAACAAAGTACTCAAAAGTACCGACGACAAACTACGTTATAAACAGAAACGATACTCTAGTCGAATAATATAACTGAAATAAATTCATTTAAAGTGAAAACAGTAGTCTTGATACGTAATAAACGATCAAAACAATAGAATTTACTCAGCGAGGGAAAATATAACAGTCCTTTTAAATATCGTGCGACATTCAGTCATTCTTGTCATCCAAGATAGAGAACTAACGAGGACACTCTAAGAAAGTTCACAAGCCCAGGACAAATTGCCTGTCAGCTGACAAACAAATTTCCCACCGAATCATCAACAAAAGAAATTCTTTACTTCAACATGCGTTTAAAGCTTTCAAAAAAAGTTGGATCAACTGAGAGACCAGCATTGACAAGACTAACACAATCAACCTGCTGATTCTCTTCAGTAAGGGCCTGGTATTTACCGTAATTCCAACGGTACTGTGGATCGCTCTAGGAGATGGTGGAGGAGATTTTTAGTTCAGGTGGATAGTTTTGGTAGTTTGTTCTCAGTGTTCTCAGTGGGTTGGTTTTGTCTTGGAGTTTTCATCGTTCTTCTCAGCGACATCATTAGCACAAACTTCAAATAGAAATGAATTGTAAGAATCTCTCCACACATGAAAACGGACGACGGAAGCTTCACGACCAAACCATCCAGTTCAGGGAAAAAAATGCGCCAACTACTCTAAAAGTTATTCCTCGCTCACTCACTTTATTTAAAATATTTTTTTACGTTTTTAAGGCCTCTGAAAAATTAATCAGGGTTTAGAAAAACCTCAAGGTAGAGTCTAAGGAACCAGTAATTCTGTTTCTGTTATGAAATTTTTGACGTTTTATTAGTCTTTGCCAAATTATTGGCGCACATTCCGATCACAACGTAACTTCTGGTTTGTGAATCTTTCAAGATAGCAGTTTAGTATCATTATTAATACACTACCTGGTTTACTTTAACGGTTTCATGTGTTTATTTAGTTTATGGACAGATGTTGTCGACCATTTAACTCTAAATCCGAAAAGTTTCAGCCCGCGCTGCAAGCAAATTTGCCTAATTGAGCCCGTGTTAACATGGGATTTTTTCCTTGTATCGTTCTGTGTTTCGAACGTCTCTGAATTGTTCACTTTTCTACTAAATGCACCTCAATTTATATAATTTTGCTTCCATTTTCAAAACACCTTTTTCATAACCCAAAACGTCTCATGTGTTCGCCTTTATTTCCATAACCACATAAAAACCGCAATCCACGTTAAAAATAGTGTGTTTAAAGAAATTTATTGAAAAGTGTAATATTGTACAACATTATTAATACTTGATAGTTGCAAGGGCGTCGATCGTTATACATTATAATAATATATGCCAAGTCTTATTGTAATTTGAAATCTGCAAATAAAAGAATAATTATGTGTTATTAATTAGACACATGCACTTATTTACAAGTGCATTTAAAATCAAACAGGGTTTCTCAACACTCACTCAAAGAGTTTCCTTTGCAAGTAAGAAAGTAAGCGCATGTTTAAAAAATGTCTATTGGAAACGAGGTTGAACATGAAAAATATTGCACTGGTTATTTCTTTTCGTAATGCCTGTTCGACTATTGAGTATCAAAATCTTGTAAATTCTGAAAGTTAAAGTATACACAAAAAGTTACATGAATATATAACTGCTATTGTTTTCTAAGCAACTATCTATGTAAAGTTTTACTTACAGTTATGTTCGTTAACACTGAAGACTGTACCAATAGAACAATAGAGAATAGTTATCGCTTTAGATTAGTACATACATGTTCTTGTTTTTTTTTTTCTATGTCGCTGACTGACTAACTGGACAAAATCTAAGTCATAGTATTTTAAGTAAAACATTGTTAACGAATAACTTTTGTGAATAGGTAATCTCTTTCTTATACATCCACACTTGTTCAGTCTATCATATGTGCCATGTAAGAAGTCTTCAGTGCTTACATTCACAATTTTCTCTTAACTCATACAAACAGGAATTTAGAAGTTCTGATTATTTAATCACTTTAATGTCAAATTCATTAGTACTGCAACTCTTCTCATGTAACATGAATGTTTTATTGCCACTTCCCTATACGGTCCTAAATGGTACGAATCTAACTGCTAATTCCTGGTTCTGTTATGGACGTTTGATCACCTCGATGAAGCTCCAGGGTTGTCACCAAATGTTGTAACCCTAACCATCTAACAAAAAAACTTAAACTAACCGTTCTAAAAACAGAGTCTCGTAATTTTCTTCCTTAAGTTAATATCCTATGGTTTCTAGTCCTGTTGTTGCTAGTACGACGGACATTGGTCATACTCCCTGAACTCTTCGTTGTCATAGTTTGAGAATTTTATCATCAGGTAGTTCTGTGACCGGCTGGGACACGTGTTACGTATGCCCAACCACCGACTACCTCGACGTGCTATATTCAGTGGTATAGGAGTAGGTTGGAAGAAAGCTAGGGGCGGCCAGACCAAAACATGGCACAAATCCATGAAGTCACTGACAAGTGGACTGAGTCATGTTGGTAGGTGTAGACTACCTGGTTGGGGACCGCGAGATGATAGCAACCGATGGTTAGAGACCCTGAATGACATGGCTCAAAATCGTTTGCAATGGCGCAGGTGCATCCACTCTCTATGTTCTCCCAAATTCTAATTATCTGAATTCTTCATGCCCCTTTTTTTTTCCTCTTTCCAAATTTATTTCACTGGATTATACTCGTTAAATAACATCTCCAAACCCTAATCTTCCCGATTACTGCTTATACTCTTGCTACCTCTACCACTACGGGATTTGAATCGACCACTGCATCTCTGTGCTAATGTGGTATGGCAACTCGAACTGATGTACGTACGTACTAAGTTCTACGTTGTTACTGACTGACTGACTGAGTTCTGTGACCGTATTTGGGACTTTTTAAAATATTTTCGTTAATTTTCGCAAAACTAGGTGTATACGTGGATACTGAAAACTTAACACTACTTTGTTTAATTGGTCAATAAAATTATTAGGACTGAAGATGGCAAAGGTATTCAGTGTTTGACGATGCTCTTACCAGTAACACCTACTAATATAACTCGTACCCACCAAGAGAAATCAAAAGACAGAATCGAAGAATGGTTTTTGCATTTAATCGCCGATAGTCACCAGTTGGACGCCAATCGTTGCTGTCCTTTTTAGGGACCATGTGCAACGGAGATGCATATGGGCTATTTGACGGTCGTATGATTCCTCAGTCTATCATGTGATCGAACTTGTTTTCCGCCAACCTTAGCTTTTCGGGGGCTAGTCGTCGTGCTTTAGGGAATCCAGGTGGTCCTGTAGTCGTGATGTGATGTGTAACGTTGCTGGTTACACACGGCAGTTTCGGTTACGTTTGATGAATCCTAGGATACTTATCGAGTAGCAGTTGATAAAGTGGGTTTGTCGTATGCTTAATTGTGACGGGATAATCTGCAACCAGAAAAAGAAGTTACGCAGACGGATAAATTAGTGTTTTCATCTAATAGCTTCCGTTTGCGAGTATCGATGATTAGATTATGGTGTTGTAGAAGGTCCATACCAATGATTGGCATAGAAACATCTGCAACAACGAAGATCCAGTGAATGGGTTTGCGTAAACCCACGTTAAGGTAGACGTACCTTTTTCCATACGTAGCGATAGGTTTTCCGTTTGCCGCCTGTAAGTTTAAAGCCGGTTCGTGAAGTCGGTCGTTGGAATTCGCTGGGAGAACGCTAACTTCTGCGCCAGTGTCGACGAGGTAGCGAACTCTCGTTTTCACATCTGTGACGTATAACAGACGGCTATGTTCGCCGGCTACAGTTGCCGTTAACGCGTGCCGGCTTGGAAGTTTCCCGAGTTGTTTTTCGAGTCAGTCGGTTTTGAGTTGGGAAAATTGTAGGGTTTTCTGCAATTTCTGGAAGACTTTCCATACTGGTTATGATACCAGCACCAGTCGGGGTTATCCGTCTCTCATCGTCTAGCGACAGATCGATTACGTGAAGTGCTTCTACGTGGGGTGTGTGATCGCTTACGGTCGTTACGAAAATTAAGATACCGCGTAAGTGCGTGACATAACTCGGTTATGTCATTCTGAGTCGTTTGAGGCTTTTCTTTGACTGAAAAAACCTCGGTAGTAGAAGATTTCGTAATTTCTAAGATACGATCGGCAGATGCAGCCAGCTCGTCGAAGGCGTTGTTCTGAAACGAGACCAGAACCGCTTGCACCTGTTGGGGAAGTTTAGACAAGAAATGTTGGAATAGGCCTTCGTCGAAAGTTCTTAGGCTTATAACCTCTCTCATCCTTTGCAACATGTCCTTCGCAGAACTGTGTTGCAGGTCTATGTTATTAAAGAGTTGGTCTAACCTTTGTCGATCGGTTTATTTATTTATTTATTTGAACACATGAATATTGGTACAAGAGAGCGCCAATATATATGCACCACACAAAACAATGAGAATTCGAAGAGAGATAGAAAAAAAAACTAAGGAGCGCAAAAGAAAAAGAGAACAATAACGAAGAGATTGGTGTAAATTAGTGTGGTAGTAACGAGGGAACGGAAAGGTACAATCAGAAGAAATCTTTCAGGTAAGGGAGACACAACCACTTTTTATGAAGAAAGTAAAAGAAGATTACAGCAGGAAATTACTTTTCTCGCTTCGAAAAAACAGTCAATTGTCGATCGGTTAGGTCTCCGCGTTTAAGAATAGAACGCTTTAAGGTTTCGTACGGTTCAGAAACATCACTAGTAAACATACTAGGTGTTACGTACCTGTCGAATTCCCGCGGTAGTGCCTTGAATACTGAGAGGAATTGTGAGCGTGTGTCGTTCACGCCGTGCTCGGAGAAGTCGGCTTCTGCGTAGCAGGACCAGGCTTCGATATTGTCGGGCCAGAAGGGAATGAGTTGGAACGAGGATGGGGACATAATCTTAATCTTAAATACCTTGGGGGTCTGTTCAGTCATAGGGGAAAATTAAGTACGAGAATACACGAGCGAAAAATATATAGATATCCAAAAACGCGGGGAAAAAATATCACAATGTATAAAAATTAAAATAAAGCAATGATATATAGAATCCCAAAATGGAACAGACTCACAGTTTACGATTTGGTGTACCAGATTACGTTAGGCTCACCATTAAATATGGCACAGGTATTCAGTGTTTGACGACGCTTTTAGCAGTTACACCTACTAATGTGATTCGTACCTACCAAGAGAAATCGAAAGACAGAATCGAAGAGATCAGAAGTTGTATTTGATGATTGCCAATATATCGGGATTGTCTGATCTAGTCTGGCTAGCGATTGCAGTAGATGTTGAGCACGGCGTTCCGACACGTAATCTGGTGCGGATGCATTACCGAGCGCGTTCAGCTAGGTGAGTCCACTATAACTAATCTGGTCAGCATCCAACGTCGAAAACTCTCAGAGCTGTTTATTTTGGGGATTTATTTACCGCTACAGGACGATAAACTCACTTGATAATAAGTAATACTTTTTAAAATGTTTTAAACTTGAGATGCTGCATCTAGTCTGTATGTCAAAAACTTACAAATTAACGATATTTGACTTCTGTCTATATCTTTTAAAAATAATTCGCACCTGTGTAACAGATCATCTCTTATAGTCCCATTGTTCTCTTGGTTCTAACCCGTGCTAGGTCTTTTACTCTGTAGCTCTTATTATCACCAAAAATCCATAGTCCACTTCTCCTAAGACCGAGTTTTTATAGTCCCTTTTAGTGAAAGGTACTATCGCTTGAAATATGGGTTTTATGATAAATACCTCAGTCACCTACAGCGTAAGACCGGGCGCACATCAATCGTTCCATGTTGCCACACCTCAGTAGCTCATCAAGATGAACACCAAATTCATAGAAGTAGTTACTTCAGTGGTAGTAATATATAAAATATTGTGTATGGGGATATAGTGCAGGAAGAAAGAATTAATTCGTAGAAATAAAGGTATAACGTAACTTTAATTTCAAAGTCTAAGGAAAGACAAAGAATGTATACACCCATGCCACTGCGATCTATCCTGAGTCGTATCACATAGTCTCCGACCATTGGTTACCATTTTGGTGGAGTTTTGTTCTCTGAGCTGGATGGTTTGGTCGTGGAGCTTTAATCGTTCTTCTGAACGACATCATCAGCACAAACGTCAGATGGTTACGATAGTCACGCGGACCCCAACCAAGTAATCTGCATCTACCAACATGGCTCAGATCAGAAGTTAGTGACTCCAAGGACTGGTGCCACGTTTTTGTTTGGCTACCCCTAACTTTCTCCCATCCATCTCCAACACTAGTCAGCATTGCGCGTCGTGGTGATCTGTGTTCAGGCATACGTAACACGTGGCCCAACCATCAGTCGGTGAAGATTTACAACCTCATCAACTGATATACCCTCATTCCCTAGTACATTGCGTCGAACCTCACTATTATTCACCCAGTGATCCCAGCAAATGTGAGCAATATTTCTAAGACATCTGTGGTCGAGCATGCGGATTATATTTTTTTACTGTAGAATAACATATCGTCTACCTAATTAGTTAATAATCGGTATGTAGCAATCATGAGATGTACTTCACATTATAAAATTGTAAAGTACCTCTACACATCTGATATAAGCTTATTTGTGCTTTTTATGCTGAAACAATTGAGAGCTTCATATATTTTTAGTTTTTTTATATTTCTTATAAAATATAGAACACATAAAAAGGAGTGAAATCATTCTCGATGATGTTCTAATTTAAACTATTTGCTTTTTTTTTAAGAAATAATTTTCATACTTTTATTCTTTTTTAACTTATTACTATTTCATTATACATGGAAAATTTCTTATTTCTCTTTTGTATTAAGTATTTTATCAGTCACAAATTGAGTAAATATTTCTATTTCCTCTTTCTAATGTTGCATAGTCCTGTGTTCTCTCGCTTCTTGATATAACTGTCATTCTATTGTCTAGCTTCAACTGACTCATGATTTCAATCTGTGAAATTTCTAAAACTATCCACAAAACCCATTCTGATAATAATCAACTGCTCACTAGTGACTGACTTCAGGAAAAACTCCTGAAGTTCTAGTGACAAGCCGTTACTAGTGGAGTTCAACCAGGTCAGTTGTGAGATAACAACTCACTGAAGACAATGGTGTACGGTGGCTCAACTTCGTGGATTAGTTGAAGTTAGACATTAACACCGTTGAATGCCGGCTCAATGGTCTAGTGGTTAAGTGCTCGCGCGCGAAGCCAGTAGGTCCTGGGTTCGGGACCCGCGTGGTGCAGGATCGTGGATGCTCACTACCGAGGAGTCCCATACTAGGACGAAACGGCCGTCCAGTGCTTCCAGGTTTTCAATGGTGGTCTAGCTTCAACTGACTCATGATTTCAATCTGTGAAATTTCTAAAACTCTCCACAAAACCCATTCTCATTCTATTATAGTTTATGACATCATGGTTTCTCACTATATCTAGCTATTCTGCATTGCTTCATATGGAATGTTAACATCCAGAATATTTATGGTTCATGAATTTATATAGATATAAGATAGTCTTAATTATATGTTATTCATTCATACAATGTACTTTTGACTTTTCAGTTCAAGTACAGTTTATAAACGTATATAATTACATCAAGTTATCATAATTATTCAGTTTCTTTTCAATATATGCGTCTTGTTTTCGGCTACAATTTCTCTACTGTCAATCTCCCTGAACGTTTTTAGATGTGTTAGTGTAGTTGATTATAAGTCGTTTATTACCAAGTGCAGGTTCGACTTACCTTTATATTTTTAGAGTGGGCTGACAGTACTATCTGGCTGTCTAAACTAAAGTAGATTTAACGGAATTCGAACCTGGGCCTTAATAATTGAAAGTCAAGTACTATAACTACTAAGCTGTTTATCTACAAATGTGCCCCTTCCAGCCATAAAGGTTGGTGAAGTCAGTTGGCTTATTTGGATGCTCATTAATGACACAGTACAACTACATGGGCTTAATATCGATTGTAATCTTGATCTTACTTTTCCTTGTTTCACATTCAGTGATTGAAGACCACTTTTAAATCATATAAAGTATTATTTTGACACTGCATCGTTTCTCTTAAATTCCACTAATTTAATTTACTTTTGTCTTGTTTTTCAGAAAGTACAAATATTGAAGCAATCTTAACTGCCTGAAATCACTTTTATCTCAGTTACATTTTCAGACAACAGGAAAAAATTTATTGACATTTGAATTACTTACTAATGCAAATTGCTGAAAAACGTCAGTTAGAAAATGTTAGCACTTTGTATACTGCAATTCATAAACTCAAGCAAAAAATTCAGGATTTAGTCATCAAAGCGGAGACTCAAGTACGTTTTAAATGTATAAAATGATTTGTCCTACATTTAAATTACCGGGTTTAAATATTTCATGTCAATTTCACTAGTTATAATCCTCACTTTTGATGTAGTTTAGGAATCGAATTCATGAAATTCATGTTGTTCTACTTGTAGCCCATCAACTATACATGCCTGTGTATCCCGCTTAGTCCTGATGTTTTGGCTAAAAACCAAGGTCGATATCTCAAATGCCCTATCATAGTTCACTCTTATGACTCAGTAATGTTAAATTAAGCCTTGGTTTTTAAACTAATGGGTTCTGATGCAAACTCTACAAAGCAACTTGGATGGAAAATCGATCAAAGTTCTTCAATTACTTAGTGTGGGAAAGTAATCGATATTCGTGGGTTGATTTTAAAGGTATTTAGGAATGATATATATAACCATTGCTTAAGATGCTTTTAGGGACTATGTTAATATCTTTTTAATGTTCTATATCTCCTTTGTTCTCTCTGATAATTTAGGGTGACCAATGTGACTGGCCAAGATATCTTAGTACACTAGCGTTATGTGCATCAGAACTAAGTGAAATTCGTAAAATACTTGAATCCGATCGATTTTCAAATGAACATACTCTGGTGCTTACACCAATGTTGTTAAATCCGGAACAAGATACTAATTTAGCTAAAATTACAGAAGAACGTCTTTCACTATTCAATCATGATACTGTACCTCAATATCTTCGAACTAAATTAGATCCAAAGGTAAGTATTTTATTTATATTTCAATGATATATTTTGGAGATACTGTTTATTTAAAAAACATCCTACTACATTGTTTTTTATGTTATTCTTAAAAGTTATATATATATATATATATATATATATATATATATATATATATATATATATATATCCTCATTTTCAGTTATTACATTTATAAGTCTAACTTCAATGAATGAATCGGTTGAACACATATCTAACCTACTGATAATTTCATTGGCAATCTCTTTCGATATGGATTCATAAAGCTCATGTGGTTCTTCCCAATATGCTCCATTTGTTATTCTAAAAATCTCTTCAGTTACATTCGTTTGTTCTATTCCCTGATGACGCTAATTGCATCAATTACTACAGCATAACTACGCGATATGTTCTAATGTTGATTATTGGCCTGCGCAAAGGTTCTTCGGTTTCTGACTCTCAATCAGGTCACAAAAAAGTTAGTCAAATAACTTATGTTATTCAAACTTGAAAATTCACATGATCGTCATGTAAATCAAGTCAAGGACCACAACTCATCAATACTAGGAAATTATCATGTGTAGACGAAGGCAGTTCAATAAAGAAAACTTTCTTCCCGTCGACTTTATTTACTTAAGCTGTATAATAGTATTTATACTTGTTTTTTCTATTTGCTTAAATAGTGTTCTATAATACGATAGAAAGTCGCTAATTGAAAATCATATATTGAAAGGAATTTAAGTAATAATCGGCTAGCGAAAAAGTGGTAAGGTGACATAATTGTTCACTTCCTTCTTCTTCACAAATACAATTGGCCTTTTTCGTTATTTGAATTAAAATTCGTATTAAATTGTCATTTGTGTTATAGAACTATGTAACATGTACACAATTACTTTACTTATTTATTTACGCCTGTTACTCCCGATGGAGCATATGCCGCCGACCAGCATTCTCCAACCCACTCTGTCCTGGGCCTTCCTTTCCAGTTCTATCCGATTTTTGTTCATTTTTCTCATGTCTATCTCCATTTCTCTCTGTAATATGTTATTTGGTCTTCCTCTTTTCCTTTGGCCTTGAGAATTTCAAGTGGGGACTTGCCTTGTGACACAGTTGGGTGCTTTCCTCAATGTATGTCCTATCCACTTCCAGTGATTCTTCCTGATTTCTTCCTCCACTGGGATCTGGTTTGTTCTCTCCCATAGTAGGTTGTTGCTGATAGTGTCTGACCAACAAATCCGAAGTATTTTGCGTAGACAGCTGTTAAGAAACATTTGTATCTTTTGGATGTGATGGCTTTCGTAGTTCTCCAAGTTTCCGCCATATACATTAGAACTGTCTTGACATTTGTATTGAAAATTATTTAATTAACTGTATTTCGTGAATTGTAAAAGATATATCAATAGTTAATAGATCAAATGAAATTTTACAATTTGGACAACATTAAAATATCACTTTTCATGAATACACCCTAAAAAAACACAAATATATTGATTGGTGATTGAAAATAATTTTCAGTCTTACCTTTCTTGTTTGTTCACCCATATAAATATGAAAACTGTGATGTATGGTTTAATAACCTCTTCATGGTATTGTATGCATTCAGTATATAATCGTTTCATTCTAAATGAGCGGAAAGCAATATTTTGTGCATATTGAAGAAGAAAGGTCTCTTTCGTTATTTTGTGTATATGTTGAAAATAATGTTCTTAGGACTTAGTAATTGTGTTTGTTAGGACGTTACGTAAAATAATTCTAGTTCTTATTTTTTTTATACGACTAGAGAAAACGTTTAACTATATAATAGTGTCATTTAAAATAATTATATTTAACAGTCGAAATAAAGATTTTGGCGAGACTATAATTTATTGACGAACCAATCAGTTTTACGACAACAGGTCTTGAAGTTTGGCGCGAAATTCACTCATCCATTTGGTTAAGTAGAGTTTTGAATTTATAGCTGATGTCAGTTCGTAATGAAAACCCTATATATGATTCCTAATACTAACCATCAACTGTAAATATTAATCCTAATTCCTCATGCTGGTTTATAACCCTCATTTCAGTCAGTCAGTCAGTCATTCACAACGTAGAACTTCGTACGTACGTACATCAGTTCGAGTTGCCACACCACCTTAACACAGAGATGCAGTTGTCGATCCAAATCCCGTAGTGGTAGAGATAGCAAGAGTGTAAGCAGTGATCGGGAAGATTAGGGTTTGGAGATGTTATTTAAAGAGTATAATTCAGTGAAATAAATTTGGAAAGAGGAAAAAAAGGGACATGAAGAATTCAGAAGATTAGAATTTGGGAGAACACAAAGAGTGGATGCACCTGCGCCATTGCAAACGATTTTGAGCCATGTCATTCAGGGTCTCTAACCATCGATTGCTATCATCTCGCGGTCCCCAACCAGGTAGTCTATACCTATCAACATGACTCAGTCCACTTGTCAGTGACTTCATGGATTTGTGCCATGTTTTGGTCTGGCCGCCCCTAGCTTTCTTCCAATCTACTCCCATACCACTGAACATCGCACGTCGAGGCAGTCGGTCGTTGGGCATACGTAACACGTGTCCCAGCCATCTCAGCTGATGAAGTTTCACTACCTCAATTGATTTACCATTCTTACCTAATACCCGTTTGCTAACAACTGTGTTACTTACTCGATGGTCCCATGATATACGAGCAATGTTTGGAAGACACCTATGATCGAATACTAGTAACCTACGAATATCCTCTACTCTTACCGGCCATGTTTCACTTCCATAAAGTAGGACGGGACGTACTGCTGCGCAGTAAACCCGTCTTTTGGTTGATAGACGGATATCTCGCCTACACCATAAATGACGCAAGTTGGCAAAAGCTAGTCGAGCCTTCTGTATCCGTGTTGAGATTTCGTCACACACCAGACCACAAGGGCTGATGAGACTTCCAAGATAAGTGAAGCGGTCGACACACTCAACTACTTCACTCCCTATCACTAGTTCGGGTGTCGATGTAACCCAATCCTGAAGCAACATTTTGCATTTCGAGGGAGAGAATCGCATCCCGAACATGCTTGCATTGTTGCTTAGAGTGGTCAGAAGACTCTGCATTTTGTCAGCGTCTTCACCAAATAAAACTATGTCATCATCATATTCTAAGTCAACAAGTGAACCTCCCGGTAAAAGTTCAACCCCTGGAAATTTAGATGAGGAAAGTGCTATCTCCAAAAGTACGTCGACCACAAAGTTGAACAAGAATGGAGAGAGTGGACAGCCCTGACGAACACCACTTGATGTAATCAATTCTGATGACAGTTCGCCATAAGCTCTCACTCTACCAGTTGTGTTCGAGTAGAGAGCCTGAATAAGGTTAATGTACTTCTTTGGTACTCCTTTCAGTGACATTTAGCCGTAGTATGTAGGTGGACATTCTCAAGGTCTCTTTAACGTCGCTCAAAGGTCGTCCATAAATTATAGTCTTACCAAGATTTTACACCCACATCATTTGGAATGACGTGAAAACCTGGTAGACAATAGACAGTTGTTTTGCCAAATATGAGACTTCTAGCTGTCCGGTATCCCAGACCTGACCAGAGTTCGACCCCTGGGCTCTCGCAGAAATCCCTTTACATTTATACAGTTGACTTGGAATTCATATTTTCAACTTTAGCTGATCGTCGGTAAGGCCAAGCGATAACGGTCATGATTTTTTGTCGAAAGATGTCTTACTAGGATAAAATGGCTGCCTAGTCACTCCTTGGTTTTCAGTCACCCCTAACTTTTGTCAGTTTATAATAAATACCACCTACATTATAAATTAATCTCCACAAATCCCATATGAATGATAACTCAGCGAACATATACAAACACTTTCTTTCAACCAATCAAATAACCTAAAATCCAGCACAAATTTGTTTTTGCAGGCTGATGATATTCAAAGCTTACCGATATTTAATAACCTACATCTTTACAGCTTTCTTTCCGTGTAATCGAACGGCTATGTGCGTAACACCAAAGTTAACCGTAGGGAAGTACCTATTGATTGTCAGATGTAAAATTTGTGCCAAGATTTCATTGTCTTGCTTTGGGAGATGCCATTATTTCAGTGATGTTCACGGCTGAATAGATTACATGTTGTGTCCCAGAGAAACTAGATTATGACTGTAAGTTATCTATGGTTGACCTACGTAAGTTAAGTCACATCTTAAATGTTATCTCTATTGAGTATTAAGCCCCTATAAAAGTATATTGTGTAGAAAATAAGATATTTACGTCCTAATTAATTCACCTGACTTCATATTTTCTAATTTATAGGTTGAAAGTGAATGTTCTAGTCAATCCACACGAGCTGCTGGTATACCGTCGGAGCAGGTGAACAAATTAATCAATTTGTCAAATCGTGCGATTGATTGCAGTCTAAAGGAGATCAATTTATTAAAACAAGATCTAGAAGCTGATTTTTCTGATCGACAAAATAAAATCTCATCAAATTTAGATGACTTAGCTACCCTTATAAATATCATTTCTCATAAAAAAGGTCCAAACACTTCTAATTTATAATCACCTTAATCATAATATTTATGTCTTACCACATACACTTTGAACGTCTTTTTGGGAGCATGACTCACTAGTGGTGGTCAATGATTCTATAGAAGGCATAAGTGTCTTTCCATTTTCCTTGGTCTCAAATATCGCAATCATAATCTAACAAATGTATTATGAGTCTTTCATACAACGTTTCCCAATTGTAAATTTTGATAACAAAAGAACAAATATGGTAGCAGAATAACGTGGATTCATTTATTTCGTGGATTACCTGTTACTTAAAATACAAAGTCCAGTCCTCTTGTGACCACGTCCATTAATTTTTTGAATGTTTGACCTGCCCTCCTCAGTCCAAATGACACCTTCAAGAAATCAAACAGATTTAAAGGTGTGATAATGGCCGGTTTTTCGACATTCTCCAGTACCGCCGGAATTTTAATGGTATACTCCCACGTGGTTTATCTTAGAAAAAGTATTCCTTCCATGTGATGCCAAAGAAAAACCCTGTAGGTGATGAACCAGATATCTGTCTGTTGTGGTCTTGCTATCCGAACGATGATAGTCCTCGCACGGATGCCATTCATGATCCTCCTTGGACACCATGTGTAATGGAGAGGCATGTGGGTTGCTTGGATGTCGTATGATACCCAACTGCATCATGTGTTTGTATTCCGTTCTAGAGACTTAGTTTATCGGGAAGTAATCTTTTTGACTGTACACTTACTGATCAGCTTGGTAACCGGGTCTCTTAATGTTGTCATACCCCCATAAAATATTATTGCATAAACTACTAGTCTGCGTTAATAGATAAATATGGATTGGACTGCTACCAAGTAGGCCACTAACTTGGAGTCATATGTTTGCATCAATAAGTTTTTATTTGTTCATAATAACAAGTAATGTGTAGAGACTTAGGAAATCAGCTCCTAAAATAGTTTATTCACCTGAGGTTTGATGAGAATTTATGCAAATCAATTGCACTCACCGAAGCCTAGTGTAATTATTCGCCAAATAAAAATCTTGTCTGCCACATCTAGGAGCATGTTACTGGCTGTGTAGTGTTAACGTTGGGATACTGTCATTGGGATTATGCTCACCTCTGCGCGGGTGTCTGAGAAATTTCGTTCCAGAAATGGTATCCAGGACATAGGTGAGACAGTTAGCTGTTGTGAGCAGGGACAGTCACCATCATTACAGTCTGGTTGTGACGTCTCATTTGGTCTTGTGCGGTGGGTCTGCACAGTCTGGTGCATCTTTGTGCCACGATTCTGGTGATGCGGACAGACCCCTGGGGTTGGTCAAAATAATCTAAAGCAATGTGTGGGTAGTGGTTTCTTTCTAAGCGTCCTGGTACGTATTACATGCGTAGTGAATACAGCTGCTTGGAGAATTGTAACATACGTCAAACAATTGCCATTGAATTGTTGCTAATACACTTGTACTCTCACCGTCAGTGATCTGTGACGTACTTACTTTGTGGTGGCCAGAAAACGGCACAGCCTACTTGCACAACTTATTTATGTTTTCTTGTATTACCGTCAAAGTATGGTTCTCTTTGGTAAGAGACGAGAATGAGTAAACCCTTATAAATAATCAGCAAAAAGGGAGGATTTACTGTGTTGAAAGAATAGGCACACGCCACTTATGAATAGTAAAGGGCCAATCACATTTCTTTGAATAACCATACTGGCTGCATGTATAAGCTGTGTAACAAGACCCAAGGAGAACGTTTTGTCTAGGGTCTATTGAAAGGAATTGAGCCAGAAAGGAAGCTCGAAGCGGTAAATAACTTCCCGAAACAAAAATAGTCACGTACCTCTGATGTTTGTGTCGACCTTATTAGTTTTACTGAACACATCTAGCCAAGGCCCCTAGGTCAAGCACCCGCAACAGATCAAGAATGGGTACGCCGTGCTACGTGTCTCTTACAGCTGTTAGCCAGATTAGACCAAACACTCAACACATTGATAGCCTTTCAAATATATCTTCGGACCCCTTGATTCCTAACTTTTGACTTAACTTGGTCATTATACTTAGACTATAAATGTGTTACGTGTGGAGACGTCAAACTCCGAATACTTGTAGCATTTTTAGAAGAGACACGTACCAAATGATAAAAGCTTTAAAACGCTATGTGAGACACTGGCTAAAGCCTTTTTATAATCGAAGTATAGAATTACCCTTTACTGACTGACTTTCCAGGTGAGAAGTGGAGTATGGCCATTTATTCATAAACTCAAGTTGAGAAGGGCTTATCAGGCTTGCTGAAAGCAAAAATGGTAATAGCTGTTTGTGGATGCTTTCTCCCGTAGTTCCTGATAGCACAGATATCAAGTTAACGGGATAGGATCCATAGCCCATAGGTAGGCTGCACAGTTTTAAACAGGTCAGCGGAGATTCTTCACTACTGTGCTTTGCGAACGAGACAAGAATGCCATTAGGGCCCACTATCATAAAACTTTTTCAAGACACTTATGGCCTGATTGATGATGATGGATGTAAAATCAAATGTGAATGGATGCTTATACGTCACCAATCGGAGTGTATTGATAAATGCGTTGGTTTCGGTGTTGCCGCATTGCAAGAAATGATGACCGGGTTACTCACAAATAGTATCAACGTTGTCTACAATCCCGTTTTTATTTATGTAAAACTTGGCTGTACTGGTAGAATTCGATTTTAAAATCGATTTAAAAGGTTGAATTATTAATAATTCTGGGTTTTGTTAAGCAAATCTTTGCTCTCCCCAGTCAAAATTACTTGCAACGTGATAAATTACGTCAGCCAATCATGTTAAGTACGGTCTGAAGCGATCAAGGCAAAAGAGGCTGTTACTAATAGATTGAGAATAATTCGAGAATAGTACGTCATATAACAGTAACCATTAAGATGAATAATAGCCTATAATAAGAGGAATATATATATCTTAGGTTCTTGTGTTATACAATAAGAAGTAATGTATAAAATTAGTCCATAAATAATTACTAGCGGTTACCATTCATTTACTCTCGTCAGGATATAACAACTGTTTACATGGAATAAGAAGACAAGTAAGTGAATTCCGATCACAATTTTCTTGCTATAGTGAGATGTTACAGACTGATGGCTATGAATCCAACATCGTTGGCCTTTTAGTAAATGGCATCCTAGTATTAACACCATCAAGATTACAAATTGATATATGAGCACAAATGTTATAGTGATAATCACGAATGGCCATTTTTCTCATATTGTAGTCTAAAGAAAGAATTGCGAGCTGAGATCCTCTACCTTATATATATTTTTTAACTAGCTCGAGAACATAACTATCTTCCACTAGGGATGATGTGAAATCCTCGACATATAAAAGCTTAATAATTATACCTCTTTTTCCCTTTTGACTTGTAAGCAGAGATGGCCATTTCAAAAATTTCCTAAATCACACGTATGTTTTACTTATTATAGAATTTAAATTTACAAAAACAAACATCAAATGTCAAGGCTGACATTTGGTTCCATTTTACTCAGAAATGTAGGTTTCTCCTACACTATCTATGTGTTGATGCGATGTCCTCATTCGCTAAATACTGGTCAAACTTTTATGATTTGTGTAGTAATGTTATGATTTTATCCAGTAATTATTATATGGCAACCTCAATTCAGCACTGGTAGAGGCCACCGCTTTGAATAACTACCCTAATATTCACAATCTCCCTAATGTCTCTTTGTCATAGGTTTGATCTGGTTAGAAAACACACTTTATTGTCGTAATTATACTTAATAGTGCAAAACAACGCTGTTTGGACATTTTTATCTGTTGATGACATTTGATTTAGTAGGGTATGTAGCAAAGTGGCAGCTATTTGTTCCTTGCGTTACAATTCATACCGACAATTTTATTCAGGATTTACTGGTATTTTTATCACAAAACAACGTCATCTCTGGTGACTTTTTACACTTATACTATAATAAGTACTCTTAAACATGCTCGAAGTACCTACTTAATCCTAGTTCTGATGTAAACTTTAGAAGAATTGCACAGAGGATAAAAGCATAACACACCAAAGCGAACAGTAGGCGCACGGTATACCGTTTAACAGTGGTCACGTCCAGGAATTCATTAACAGATAAGGTGGTCCATACAAAATTGGTGCTTTCTTGAAAACTCATGACAGTTTCACCCTAACACGCTTTCATTTCTCTTTTACTCTATAATATACCTAGATCCCAACTTGATGGCATAAAGGGATTCGCTGCAACTAGATACATAAGCCCGTTAACGGAAAGCCCCTAATCAGCCACATCCATTTAATTATTTCACAAACTTCATTCCTGATATAAATGCTGTAAAATAATTTCGTTGCAAAGTCATTAGCATGATTTTGATACTTTCATTTCATATCACTGTTTAATTGGCGAAGCTTGGACATTGAAACATATCTATTTTGATTTCAAGGTTATCCTGGCGTTCTTTAAGAGTCTGATGTCTTGAAAGGTCTTGGAAAGTTATATTTTTTGGTTAATATACAAACCTTCTGTAAAATGACATATGTCGGCAATCCTGCGAAAGTGACATGACTTAGTCACTAGATGCTTCATATATATAGAGCGGTTTAAAGAAGCCTACAATAAATGTCTTTGAAAAGTATTGGCCTTTTTAAAAAAATCAGCATATTGTTCTGCTTATCGTATCGTTTGTAGCTAATTTAGAATGCCAATTTCAAATCTCATATAGAAATATTTCTTTCCATCCACTCCGTTTTAAAAGAAATCAGAGTTCTTTCAGAACTCTAAATCCCGCCCCCCTACGTAAACGGTTTTGAAAACTCACTATAGTTCCGTTGTTTAGCCCTGTTGACTAAACTTAATTTCGAATTATATCTGGCATAGGCTTTTTTGGTTTCTAATCAGCTCTTTGTGATCGTAGCCACCTAAAAAAAAACCTTGAGATCAAATCGTTCTCCTAACATCTCACTAAGCATGATAATAAACGGCCTGGTATAAATATATGTCAGCAAACGTTCTCATACTTTTCATTATGACAGCCACCGTTTATCAATAAAATGATGTTCTTGAACTTTATAAAAACTAAGGGACAAATACACTTGCCTTCTACCAAGCTTGGAACATATCTTAATTTTTTGAGTTTACTGTCTCTCAATCCACAGTTAAGGATTAAATCCCAAAATTTTTCTGAGTCATACTCGTACGTTCAAACGACTGCCTGCTGTTATCCGCCTCTGTTGCTTATGTTTTTTGTGCTTGAACATTTTGTCAATCTAGAATGTTTTCTTTTCGTATAGGGCTCTGGTACTAACCAGTAATTTCTTG